AGTATCGTTGTCGTCATCTTCCAGCGAAGCCGACACGCTGTTGGAAGAGCGATGCACCGTCGGACGCTTGCCTTTGCGCATGGTGGTGGTGGTGCGCGTCGTGGTGGTGGTGCGATGATCGCCAGGTCCCATGCGTTCGCGCGTCGTGGCCGCAATCGTTTCTTGGTTGCTGCCGCGTCGGCGCACCGTCTCTCGGCGTCGGTCGGCAGGTCGACTGCGGTCGACGTTCAATTCCACCAGCCTGTTTTCGATCCACGTCATGCGTTCTTGCAGGCGCCGCGTGTTTTCGGAGGATGGGACGTTGTCCATGTCGAATAGACGGCGTTCCAAATCGGCATACTCGCTCGTCAAGTCGGCCACCTCTTGCTGACGAGTAGGCGGTCGTCTAGCCGTGCGAGGGCGTCGGCGCGTTTGCGGTGGCGGAGTAGATGGTGGTGGTGGTGGTGATGGCCGTGGCGTCGATCGCGGCGTAGAGATAGCCACCGGACTACCTACAGGCTGAAAATTTGCGATAAAATCGTCTAGCGCCAGCACGGGGGCAGCAGCAGCAGCAGCAGCATCTGCAGGATCGTCCAATAGCTCGCCGGGATCCATGTTAGCCAAATCCTCCAGACTGGCTTGCTCAGCAGCGCGCATGTTGCTTGTCAATTCTTCCACCATGGCTTGCTCTTCGTCTGTCATGAGCGTCGGCAGCGTGAACACCGTCTGCCACGCATCGGCGTCGTCAAGGTCCATCTTTTTTAGGAAATCGCGTTCTTTTCTACAAACACGTGTTGCGGACCGGGATCGGAAGGAAAAATGTGCGTTCTCAAACGCAAGTCATCGGGAGTGTCGGTTTCAAAGTCCAACAGCAAATATCCAAAGGGTTCCTTGGTGGCTTCTTTAAAGGCTTCGTTGGCAAAAGCCACGCGGTGCGGAAAGGCTTGCTTGAACAAACATTTGGGTTGCAGTTGATCGCGAGGGTTGGCAAAGAGCACCACGTAGTGGGCGTTGAGGCTCTGCGTTCGACATCCTTTGCGAAAAAGATTTTGAGTCAGCAGCACCGTGGTCAAACCGCGATGGTGCGAACCGCGGGTGAACAGCTTTTCCACCGACTGGTTGTTGGCCGTTTCGGCCATCAGATCGTCCAGCACCAACAAACCTGGCTTGTTTTCGAAGCGTTCGTAGAGATCGTCGGGCAAACCTTCGACCAGCTGTACGCCCTCGGTGCGTGCCAAGTCCTCGAGAGCCTGTTGTTTTTCTCCATAACAAATCACCACGCGTTCTAGCGGGCTGCGAAAAAGTCGCGACGCTCGCGAATCATGCGCCCGACAAACGTGGTCTTGCCCGATTTGCTCGGACCCACGACCACTATGTTGGAAGGAGTCTTGAGTCGCGGATCCATGACGTTCAAATTCACTACTGCAAGCGCTTAGGTTTTAAAGATCCATTTATTGAAATTCAAAGGCGGACGCAGCCGAGAAGCAACGCGCCGCCCGCATGACGATTTTTGACAATATTGATTTTTTCTACTGTGCTTTTTTCTAAAGTTCAAACGGAGTCCTCGGCTCCGGCAGGTACCGCACACCCACTGACACACGCGGTAGTCGTTGTTCCGCTTCCCACGTCCAAAGGGCGCCAACACTCGATCTATGCTTTGACCCGCGAATCGGTGCGTCAAGTAGTAAACGCAATAGTGTCCGCACACGGTGGTGTCTTCTGCTTGCAGTTCGCGACGATTCCAAACAAAGCCGGGTGCCAACAGCAAGCGCGGTCCCCAACTTCGATGATAGTGGTTTGGCGACTTGCCGTAGCTGTCGAAAAATTCGTCTGGTTCTTCTCTCTCGTCTCAACCGCGATAGACGGCCACCCAATGCTGCCCAGGGCGATGAGCCGGATCCGTGTTGACGATGTAGCCGCAAGGTCGCGGTAGCGACTCGGGTACCGTGTCGGCCGAGTAGACGCCAGCAAAGTGCGCGTAAGGCTTCATGAGTTCCTTCAATTGGTCGTCGTACAGACCTCGTTCTTGAGCTTTTGGCATTTTTTCTTCTTTTTTCTTTTTTTTTAGTAATTGTGCATCAACGTGACTTGGCGGTTAAAGTCAATGAGAATCTCGTTTTCAAACTCGGGCAACAAGATGAGCAGATAATTTTCTCCTAGTGGCGCATTGAAGACGAGATGCAAATCCAAAGTGCCAGTCGTCTTGAGGTACTCGTAGTCGTCAGCATCTTTTCCATCTGGTGCAAAATTAAAGCGCATCAAGGCCTTGCCCTTAGCATAATCTTTTCTTTTTATACCAGGCGTGAAGCCGCGGTGCATGTGACCTGACGATTCCCATAGCGTCTCGTAGGCCTCAAATCCATCTTCAGAACGGATCTTCAATTCCGAGTAGGGGCGCTCGTGACTGTTGTACAACCATTTTACGGACTGTAGTCCTGCCAACTCAAAGTTAAAAGGGTTCTTGTTCCAGGCTCTGTTGTAGGCATCGGCTTTTATGATCCCCATCGTGATTACGGAAGGCGTCGCGCCAGCAAACAGATCGGTGAAGACGTGTTGCTCGCTTGTTCCGCTAGCGTTGTAGATGAGGGAATTGACATGGTGTTTTCTTTGTTTTCTTTTACTCGCTCAAACTTTCGTCGTCGTAGTCGTCTTCTTCTGCTTTCCCAAAATCGAAGCGATCAGGATCCGCACGGCGTTTTTGCACGTATCTCACTGGTTCCTCCTCCTCGTCGTCGCTGTACTCGTCCAACAGTTCCACGTTTCGTCTGGACTTGATGGCTGTAGGGGCAGAGCGCTTTCTTTTATGTGATACGGGCCGGGTCACGCCGGTGTACCGCCGTTTGACCGCTTTTGGAGGTGCACGTCGCTTGGGCGGTGGCGGACGGGGTGCGCGCCGAGGCGTTCTCACCACTTCTACCACTCGCGGTGGTGGTGGCGTAGATTGCGCTGCCTGTGGATGTGGTGGCGGTGCTGCAGCAACGGGCGCAGCTGGAGGTGGTGAAGGATGCCGCAGCAGCACTGTTCCGTTGCGCATCCCGCGCACGAGCGTTCCATATCCTACCATGATCGTCGTCTGTCAAAAGAGCCCGAACGCTTCTCCTTTTTGTAGTCTCCCTAGAGCACCTCGAAATCGGGTCGACGCGCTCGGATGTGCATCGTGGCCGTCACCAGACGTTTGTCAGAGGGAGCATAGACTTCGGCTCCTGTGCGATCGCGCACGTATATCGTGACGCCATTGAAGACGGACAAACGCAACGGCTGATACGACAAATGCTTGAACTCGTACGTGTGTCGCTCTGATTCTTTGGGACCCGTAAACGGGACAACAGCCAAGAGAGGGACGTTGGTGTTGCCCACCATGGACGACTGGCAAATGTCCGTGTAGACGTACAGCCCGCTCTCCACCACGGCATTGGGCTTGATCCAATGCAGCGGAGCGTCGCTGTCGGTCCATATCACAAATGTTTCGTCGGTAGGGTCGAACGGAACCGTCACGGCGCGAAACGGATTTTCTCGCTTCAGATGGTAATAGTCCGGAGCCGTGTCGTTGCGTTGCCAGTAGTGCGAGTCTGGTATTTCGCCCGTCTGCTTGTCCATCCCCAACAATTTGAGAAACGGCTTGGTCGCTGCCAGCGTAATAAATTTAGTATTTTTCCAAAACGGAGTGTACAGCGTCATGATCTGCAATCGAATCTTGTCTCCTTTTTCCTTAACGGCGCACACCTTGAAAAATCTGTCGCGCGGAATGGGCGTCGTGGAAGTGCTTGAACGATACCACGGCGTCGAGACACCCTTGACCTTGTGTTTTTTCCATTTTCCAGGTTGGGGGGTGTTGTAGTTGAGAAAGCGACGGACCGTCGTCGCGCCATCGATTCCCATGTAGTCAAACGAATAGAAACGTATGCCTATCACCTTCTTGCCCGTCTTGTCGTATACCAAATGCGCGTACTGTTTGAAGCGCAAGTATTCCTTCTCGTCTTCCTTGTCGATCGTGCCCACGGCCAACATCAGTTCGCCCTCGGCGTTGCGGGGCGCCATGGCATTGATGGCATCGGTCAATTCCCACCACATGTAATTGCCGGGCGGAATGCGCGTGTCGTACTGCGTTACTACTTTACTCAAGCGCGTTTCAAAATTGTGCTCTATCTGCGTCCAGCGAATTTTGTTATTGCCTTCGCGAACCAGCCCTCCGCCTCGCTCCWTGTGGACGTCGGGCCAGGCAACACCCACCATGAGATCCAGTTTTTTGTTGATCTCGTCGATCAGCTCTTGATACGTATTGTACCATTGACGATCCAGCGGGTGCATCCAGGTATTTTCCATCACGTTGGTTTCTGTATTGAAGAGCGTCAAGCCAAAGCGACGGTCCTTCTTGTCATCGTCGTCGGCGGGGCGTTCCAGGCTAGGAAACTGCAAACTGGTCAATGCCACCTCCCATTCGTCTGGCGTGTAATTCAGCGAGCCGGGCAACGTGATCGTAAACAAGTTGGGTCCATTGTCAGGCCAGCGCTCGAGCGAGCTGTTGCTGGGCAAAACCAAGAATCGTTCTCCCATGGGGACCGATTGGTGCACAAAGTGAAGAGTGACAGTGGTGCTGGCCAGTTCCGACGTCACCAAATAGTTGCCGCGTTCGTCCCGCACCTCTATCCAAATCTTGTCTATATAGTCGCTGCCCAGCATGTGATACATCGGATGCATGGGTTCGTGGATGGTGTAACCCGTGTGATGCGAACGCTTCACTTCGGACCAGCACAGCAGTGCCGAATTTGAATCCCCAACCCACGTAGGCTGCACCAGATCCGAGTAGAGAAAGAAAATCTGACTTTCCTGTTGCTCGGGCACCGTAGGCAAAATGATCTGCGTTGCGGCCACCATCCACGAATTCAAGTCTTTAAAATTCAAAGCCTGCGTCAACGGCGTCTCGAAACTCCACGGCCTGTTTTCGGTAGTACCGCCAGGCACCTGCACGTTGCTCGGCAGCGTCACGTAAAATTCGATATCGTCGGGCAGATATCCCCCGCTCATGTTTCTTGCACGTTACTCTCGGGAATCCAGCTGTTGTACTTATCGGGCCAGCCTCGCCACTTGACCAAAACTTCTGCCGGACGAGTCCGAGTAGCACGACGACGTCGAATCACCTCTTCGACGCGAAAGGTGTCCGTCTCGTCGACCGTCACGGGTTGCAATTCGGATTCGTAAAACAACCCACTCAGCGGCGTTCCGTCCCACTCTTTAATTTTGTACAGAGGCGGCCAACCAGGAACGCGACGTTGGACTACAAAGATTTCTTCCGTCCAGCCGGGCGTGTAGCCCTTTTTAAAGGCTTCGGCCTTCTTGCTTAACCGAACCTGGTCGCCAGGTTTGAAGCGATAGCGACGTCGACGTTTCTTAGGCTTTTCGGGTTCGGCGTACAAGTGTCTCCAGACGTCTTGCGCGTTGGCGTGCGTCACCGAATCGGGGCTGCGCTGGATGGAACGATGAAAGCCTGCATTGTATCCTTTCACCAAATCCTGCAAAATGTCCATGTACCGATGCGTGTTGTGAGCCGTAAAATATCGCCACATGCGGTTCTTGAACGTGCGAATGAAGCGTTCCACGATCTGCGTCTTGGTGTCGCCATAGACCACAAAGTGACGAATGCCGCGCTCCTTCAAGACGCCGCGCAGCGTGCTGTTGAGAAATTCAGTTCCTTCGTCCGTTTGCAAAGCGTCCGGCTGGCGACCGCTCTCTTCGAAAATGTCCTCAAACGCCCGCGCTACCGTCGCAGCGTTCTTCTTCTTGATGGGGCGGACAAAGGCGTAGCGCGACAGCACGTCGAGCGCAATCAACAGGTACTCGTTTCCGTCGTTGGCTTGGCTCAGCTTGCGCACGTCGGCCAAATCGGCCTGCCATTGTTCGTCCAACCCGTCGACTCGCACGCGACGACGCACAAAGCGACGACGCACAGGCCGATGCAACGTGTAGCCAGGCTGTCGGCGCAACCATTGATCCACTTGCTGAGGTTTGACTCCAGAGCGGCGCGCCTGACGTCGCACTTGATCTGCGCCTGCATAACCGGCTGGCGCCTGAGGATCGTAAAATGTTTCTTGCAAGATGTCAGACGGCGACTTCTTTTTCTTCTTCCTTGCCCGCGTCCAATTCGTCTTCTTCTTTCTTGGAGCCATCGACCATCACCACCGAACCCCCACAACACGCAATCAAACAACGCAGTCGTTTGCACAAATCAGAGATGCCACCGTCGCCGCCAGGCCATGAGGGCATGATTTTCTTCTTCTTTTTTTCTTGATCTGTCGAAAGGGCACTGGGGTTTTTATATCCACCCATAGACGACGCGTAGGCGGGATAAAACGTATATGATACTGAATTTTATTTAAGTTTTACATCTTTTACAGAATAATAAAAAAGTTTTTTTTTTTTTTACAAAAATGTATTAGGCAAATAGCCGTAAGGCACCGTGTGTCGCACGCCACGTCGCAACCGCTTGTCGTAGACCACTTGGAAGAGCTTCTCGACGTCCACGGTGCGCAGCACTCGTCGTTCGGGGTCGCGTCTAATCTGTCGCGGCAACGACACGTTGATCTGARCTTGCTCGYCGACGCTYTGGTGGACCAGCAWKACCATGTTGTCAAARTTGACTTTCTCYGAAGASGTGATGTTGAGCGGGATGCCCTTGCACTTGACTTCGTTCTTGCCTTGCTTCGTGCGGTAAGCGTAACTCTTGGGCCCCGTCGACACAAAACACTCGATGGAGTCTTGAGCGTCGAGTTCCGACGTCAAATCGCCCAGATAATCCCCCAGTTCCAGCGGCTTCTCGCCGGGCCGCGTCAGATAGATGATGGAATCTGTGTCGAAATAGAGCACGCGGGGCAAACAGCTCTCGTCCGTTCCCACGCGCCCATCCAACCGCTCCAGTTGTTGGTACAAGGCCAGCCGAGCATACGAGGTGACAAAATCAGCGTGCACGACGCTGGCAAAGGGACTCGGTTGCACAAACTCGGTTTTCTTTTCAAATTGCACTTGGGCCAAATCGTCGTTGATGAGGAGGATGTACTTGACGTCGACTTTGCCTCCGAACATCAACTCTGCAAATTGCTTGGGTTCTGTCACGTACTCGGTGTTGGTGAAGGAAGGATTTTGTCCAAACTTCCCCCACAGGCTGTTTAGGAAGTTTGGCCACGGCCCGCAACCCAGAATTCTTGACCACGTGGTCGGGACGCAGGCGGATCTTTTCGTGCTCTTCGTAGTTGTCTAGATAGCGCTGTCGATCTTCTTCGGTGCGGCACCAGTCGGGCCAACCTGACGCTTCTTGCTTGAGTTGGAGGAAAGTTTGCACGTAACCGCAAAACAAGGTGGTGCTGGTTTGCGGGTAGTGCCACACTTCGTAGGTTTGCAAAACGCGATACCCCACCGACAGAGCTTTGGCCAGTTCTGGCGTCGTCCACACTCCCACCATGGCCCGTTCCTCCTCGTTGTGACGACACGTCGTTTTTTGCTGCTTTTCGGCAGAGGGTGAACAAGAGCTTTCCATTCATGTGGATGGGCAACACGGGCAGGTAAAGTTTACGAGGTGGCAACACCTTGACCTTGTTGAGCCCGTAATAATGCTCCGTCAAAGGATGAGATATTTCGGCCTCGCCGGGTCTTCTTTCCAGGCTTGAGGGTCCCTGGCGTCGTCCACACTCCCACCATGGCCCGTTCCTCCTCGTTGTGACGACACGTCGTTTTTTGCTGCTTTTCGGCAGAGGGTGAACAAGAGCTTTCCATTCATGTGGATGGGCAACACGGGCAGGTAAAGTTTACGAGGTGGCAACACCTTGACCTTGTTGAGCCCGTAATAATGCTCCGTCAAACGATGAGATATTTCGGCCTCGCCGGCTACCAAAATGGTGGGATGACCAGTAGGGTACGCTCCAGCCTGGCGCATCACCGACGGGTAGAGCGAGGTGAAGTCCACGTAGTCAATGCGCGTGCCTTCGGGTTCCTCGTTCACGTCGCAATACAATTGCACTGCGTTGGTACGACCGCCAAAGAGCCCATCGCGAGGATTGAGCGGATCGGTGTACGTCAACCAGAGGGGCACGGTCACCCCGCCTCCAACGTCGATCTTATCCCACTCGTGCTCCCACATCTCGATAACTTCGTAGCCGTTGGCGCGCAGCAAATTGGTGCGCCGCCTGGTGTCGTAGTAGCGCTGGCTAAATTCGCGATGCTTTTCTCCTTCGCCAAACGCATCGTGTCCAGGAAAGCACTCGGGATAGGCGTGATAATAACATCCGTGGAACTGGAACACCTTCTTCGTCTGTTCGTCGTATCCGTCGACGGGGGCCCCCATCACAAAGCGTTCTCCCTTGGCCTTCAAGCAGCACTCGAGGCGTTCGTTGAGCTCTGGATCGCGATTCATCAGCCACCACAGCCAGCGACGCGCCTTCATGGATTGCATGATGGCACCGCGGTAGCCCTGTTCGGGGATGACGCCGATAGAATTTTCGGGCATGAACAGGCGACGATAGGCTTCCATGCAGGCCGAAGCCAGAGTGACGCAGGCGTGAAACGGGTCGAAGCCTGCAGCATCTAAAAAGATGCGACGCGCAGCCAGCACCCCGCGCTTGAGCAGCTCGACGTCCTTCCAGCAGTAGTACAAGAGCTCTCGCTTGAAGTCAAACTCGTCATTGCGCCGGCTTTCCCACCAAACCGTCAAGGCGTGCGCCTCTTCGGCACCCATGGTGGCGATACCGTAATCGGCCAACGGAGGCATAGCCCCTTTGTAATCTTGATTTTCGGGGCGATTAAAGAAATGAGGGAAATGTCCTTTTTCTTCTTCCAGCCCAAAGGTCTTAGAAAATCGGCGCAACGCCATGGGTAGAAAATTCAAAGAATCTTTAAATTTCATGTCCAAAGGCTTGTAATACATGTAGAGCAATTTGCACCCGCGGAACACGACCTTGGGTCTTTCGGATAGCTCGCACAGATACTCAAGTAAAAAATACGAATCGTACCCTTTAAAGTTGTGAGCCATCACCGTGTATCCAAAGTTTTCGGGACTGAACAGCCAACGGCAAAACTCGTGCTGCGTTCTAAACCAACGACGACGATTGTTGCCGCAGGTGGAGCACTGTTTCCTCTCTTCCTCTTCGGGAGTCCACGATAGGCATTCAGAACACACCTTGTGTGCCACCACCAAATTGACCTCGTGATGTTCCTCCAAAGGCATGGTTTCGACGTCAAAAAACAAGTATTTGACTTTGAAACGTTCGTCGTACGTGGTGGTTTGTCCCGTGACGGAGCACGCGTGAGGAAACGCCACTTTTTGCTGACAGGCAAAGCACAATTCATCTGTGATGCGTTGGACGTGACACCAGTGCTGAGGTTTGGTCTGGCGGCAGGTGGTGCAATAGATTTCGCCGCAGCTGTGCGCTCCTTCCAGCGTGCGTTGACGCGGGTCGCTAAAAACAGCGACCTTCTTGCGAGTCAGCACGTCCACCACTTTTTTGCACTGAGTGCAGCGCTGGTAACGTTCGCAGATAGAGTACTGCAATTTAGGGTAGTTGCGATTTTTGGAGAGCACATTTTTCAAATGGTTGGCCAAACATGTGTCACCCTTGAACGAACGGTTGCACTTGTCGCAATACTTCCAATCGATTTCTTTTTCGTCCGGCTGACAGTCGATCTTGTGGGAGTAACAACATTTACACAGAGGTCGACACTTGTGCTTCTTCTGATTGTAGTACCCTTTGTGACAAAGGTTGCAAAAGTAGGCTTTATTCAAAAACCCCGTCATCGAGCGGATGAGATCGTAATGAGCGTCGTGATGGAACAGGTAGACATCGTGATCGGGCCCCGTGTCGGGGTCGAACACCGATAAGTCGCCGGCAAAACCCACGGCTCCCAGATGTTGATAGTAAACGTGCAAACGCACGCCTAACACGGCCAAATACTGTTGCAACACGTGCAATTCCACCATCCCACAATGGTAAAAGGGCAATCCTGCACTCTGGGCCAGTTGACGCGCCTCGGTTTCCAATTTGGTTTTATTAATATTCTGACTGCGTCCGCCGGGATGAGCGCGCAGCCACAGACTCAATGCAACTGCTCGAAAGCAGCACCCGTTATCGGGATTTTTCTCGATCCTCACTATCGATTTCTTGCTATCCACCAAGTCTTCTGCTTCCAGAGCACGCGGTCGCACACTATTTCTAAACTTGGGCAAAGGCACCTTGTTCAAAAAAGGATTGACGCAACGGTGTCGCTTGTTCTTTCGATTGTAGAATCGGCAACAATCAGAGCAAAAAAGATGGCCTTGGTCGTAGTGATGGAGACGGATAACATCCCACACGAAATGAAACCCCGTGCCTATTTTGTACAAAATAGCCAAATGGGGTTTTTCCGCTAACGTGCCCGATTTCGGACCCAAAAACAAGGGTGCATCGTTGTTTCCCCAATCAAGAACAACCAAACGTGTATGATGATCTTTCTGCAAGCGCGAATTCCATTCCATGAAGATGCCGATGAGCGTTTCGTTATCCATCTCGGTCCCTTCGACAAACGGTTGAGGATCACACTGCTCTATCCAACACAGAGAATCAGAACGGGGAATGTGTAGGATTGAAATGAGATGTTGCAAAATAGCCTCTCTCAACGAATTGCTTCCTGCGATGAAGCTAACGTTATCGTATTGATCTTGCATGCGCACCACTTGACCTTCTGCGTTGACACACTCGACGACATTCCCCTTTTCGCACAATTTGGTCAGCCACGCTCTAGGATTATTTTTCTTTTGATCTAGAAAGAATATGCGGGCATCACGAATCGGTTTCCTTCTAGGCATGGATTTGGCACCCGTTTGATCTTCTTCTACTATCACATATTCTTCTTCTTCTTTGTCCTCTATCGCTTCTGCGTCCAAAAAATCGCTCGTTCCCTCGTCATCGCTGGGTCCACCACCAGTTGGACCATTACGGACGTGATAAACGGTGACCGTCATGTCACCAGAAAGGAAAAATTTTTTCTTTGATTGCGCTACCGCCTCCATCTTTGACATTAATCATTCAGAAGTTAGTTCGTGAACGGGCATGAAAGGCATAGAGATAGGGAACTCTAATTCACCACCTTCAATTACCAAACGCATCATGTCTTGATTATTTGCACCAGCGCGCGCTTGAGTAAGAAGCTGATCTATCATACCCACAGTGGCTTGCAGTGCTTCACCAATGTCTGTGCGGGGGCGCAAATTCACTCCCACCCGCAACTCCATAACGGTAGCATTGAATTTTTTGTTGCGGCGTTGCGCCATAGATTGGATGCGGAAAACGTCGTCGCTTTGGTCACGACGTGGAGCCCCTTGACCTTGTTGAGAAGGACGCGCTGCAGGCGCATCGTCGCGCAACAAATCCGACAAGAGACGATCAAATTCATCTTGGCGCGAAGAACGGTCTTGATCCCACTCGATACGCAACTGGTCCAACTGCTTTTGCCACTCTCCATCTAAAAAACTCTCGACATCTTCAGAATCATCCGCAATAAACTCAGCTTCGAGCATGGTCTCGTCGTCATCGTCTTGATCATCATCATCATCATCATCATCATCAGACCACCCTTGAGCATCTTGAAAATACTCGGGCGAATCGGGAATTTGTTGACGCCATCTTTCGTTCCACTCTTCTTCCATAGCATCATGCAATTCCTGACGCGCCACCGTCGCCTCGTCTGTTAATAAGCGCCGCTGCTCTGCCTGCTCTTCGTCTTCGCTAAATGAAGAAGAACGAGATGAAGGTGGATCCAAAAACACATCTATAGACGGTAACGGTGCTGGTGGCTGTAATGATGGTGGTAGTGGGTTGTTCAATTCGGGATGCTCCAAGGACATTCGATCATAAATTTCCCATAAAGCGTTATCACCCAATTCTTCTTCGTACGGTTCAAAATACTCCGCCATGTTATGTTATGTTATGAACAACTAAGAACAAAGACAGAGACTATATCAATATAAAATATGCTTTTTTATTCTAAAAAAGAATATTACATAAAGTGATAGCTTACTCTGTCACTCTCCATCACACTCAATTCCTTCCATTTGTGTGGTATCTGGTGTTTTAGCATCATATTCAGCAACGGCCTCTTCTGCAGAACGCCCATTCAACCATTTCAACACTTCGCCTGTAGAAGGAGGACGACGGATTCCTCTCTCCCCCTTACGATTCTTTTCTTCTTCATCACCCACAACATCAA